CGATGGTTAGATGCCACGAAGTAGGTGGCAATGCCTTAACCGTATGCGTGTTGTCAGGCCCGAGGGCCTCTTCCATCCTTGTCAAGGGGAGTGCTAACCTTCTCTCCTTTCATACAACACGCCTGAGTTTGCGCGAGGTGGCTATTTAAGGACCACTTTCCTGCAAACCTTTTGGTAATGGTGACTTTTTGTTCGCCATCAGTAGCAGCCACAGGTGGTCACAACTCTTTGACTATTGAGTCACCACTACTACATTTGATCGCCTTTATTAATTTGAATAAGAAGGGAGCAGATTTTTTTCTTATGCTTTAATGAATTCATAAATCCAGCCAATCAGGATAAGGGGAACACCGGAAGTCACGAGCGTCTTTCTAAGAAGCCTACTCCCCCGGAAACAAAACAGGGCGGGCGCGCACTTCCTATGGATGGGTACACGTCTCGTGGACGGCGGGAAGAGGAACCGAATTGTCTGCGGAAGTGGAAATGGCGGGTAACGAATCAGAGGACGAGGATCGGAGATTCCCCGCATCGGACTTCCGGACGCGGCCCACGCGCGGAACTGTGGATGCTGCGCCTGCTCTGCGCTTCCGCTCAGGTCCGCGCCTGCGCCATGTCGCTCCGCCTTTGGCTGAGGGTTCGAATCCCAGAGCCCGCGCCGCCTCTGGCTCGCGCGTTCTCTTCCGGGCCGGGATGTCGGTGCGGCGCTGCAGACCGGCATCCGGCTGTAGTTCCTGCGCCAGGCGCTCAGGCTCAGTTCTTTTCTGAAAAAAAGCCAGTGAGCTCAAACGGCCAGGCGGCGCCAGCCTGATCGTCACACCACGACGGTGTGTCCACGCGTGCGCTCGTGTCCGCACGCGCACTCCCGCCGTCCGTGTGCACACACTCCCGCAGGCCGTGTGCACACGCGCACCCTCGCCTCCTCCCCTAGAAACGGCCCGGAGAGGCCCGAGCGCCAGGAGGACGCGGCGCCAGGCGTGCCCGTGTGGGCACCGCGCAGAGGGCAGGGCGGCCGCGCTCGGCCCCGGTGCCCGGCCGGGGAGCTGGGCGAGCCCGCGTTAGCGACAGCGAGCGGGGGGACAGGGCCGCGGGGGAGGCAGCCCGCAGGAGCCGCACGCTGCCCTCAGGCTGCCCTCAGGCCGCGGAAGGGGACCCGCAGCCCTCACGTCCTGGCCACCTGCCTGCAGCCGCATTTGTCCTGGTCACATTCACCTGGCCTCCGTTTGTTCCGGTCCTGAACTCTGCCCTCTTACCCGGAGGCCAGGGGGGTTAAAATGCTAAGCCCTAACTTCGCCTTGGGGGTCCCAGTGGCCTGGTGAGGTTAAGAGAGATGCCCTCAGCACTGCCAGGTCCTGCCCTGACCCCTGTCGTGGCTGGGGAGGGGTTGCAGCCAGGGCGAGGGTGGGCAGCAGACCCCCCGCACAGGCCTGGGCACCACCTGGGTGCGAGGCCAGGGAGGTCCCACCCAGGTGTTCTCTGACTTGGCCCCCAGCCCCATCAGAAAGAGGGTGTCCCAAGGAGGAGGCCACAGGCCAACAGCGACAGCTCCCTGCTGTGGGCAGGAGCTGGTTGGACAGTCTGCTCCTCTCCTGTCAGTTTCCCTGTGTCATGGCTCACAGCTGGTGGCTTTGGCTGTAGCCCTGAACACGGGAGGCTGTGTTAGGCTCAGGGCTTGCTCTTTCCTCAGTCTGCAAGTTCATGGTCTCTGATTGTTTGGAGTGTGAGGGGGCATCTGGGTCCTCCTGACTGAAGACCAGACCAGACCAGGCCTCTCCCAACACTGGGATTGTTAAAATAGACGCTCCTGCCCCCAGTTGGATGCAGGTCCCAGGCCCAGAGATCTTTGGTATGAAGCCTGGGGTGCTGCTTCATGGCGGCCTGTGTTTGGGTGCAGGTGGGGAGTTTTCATCTGTGGACTTAGCAAGAGTGACTCAGGATGGAGGAAGACAGCTGAGGGTCTTTGCAGAGTCAGGACCAGGCTGGAA